CCGGCCGCGCTGGCGGAGCCGGCGAGCGCCGCCGCGGACCGGCGCGCCTCGAGCATCGCCGCGCTGCGCCTCAAGGCCAAGGAGCACGCGGCGCAGCTCACGCAGCTCAACATCATCCCCGGCGGCAGCGCGGGCAAGGAGGTGTGCTAAGGGCGGGGGGGCCGCTCCGGCTTCGCTGGGCTTTGCTTTTCTTTCCTTTTTTTAAAAAAATTAAAAATTATTGTTTTTTATTATTATAAAAAAGGGGGGGGCAAGGGGGAAAAAGAAATTAATAAATAAGCGAATAAGCGGAGGTCACCTCAGATATATAGCACGAATCAAGACCAAATAAAACAGAGAAAAAAAAAAAAAAAGGCAAAGCAAAGGACCAGCGGCTAAGTAAGACTGGGGGTAGGTTCTCGAGGCAGGAGCTTGGCTGGAAGACGGCGAGCGCCTCTCGCAGCAGCCCTCACACGAGCGAAGCGGCCCTCGCAAGCTCCCGAATAAGGAATTCCTTGGCTGGTGCATTCGTTTAGATATACGACGTTGTTAACTCCCTCTCCAGAGTATTAAGAGAAAAAAAAAAGGAAAAAAAAAAGCCTGAATAAAATTTATTATGTATTGGCGTTACGTACATTAAATATTTTTTCTTCTGTTCATTTGGCAAGAAAAAAAAACTAATTAAAAAAAAAGAAAGAAAAGAAAAGCAAACGAGGGGGGAAAGCTACCCACACCTTCTTAAAAATAACATCGCAGGATGTTAAGTTAGTCTATTCGGAGCACTGGAACTATTTCACATGTTAATGCAGCGAGCTGCATATTATAACCAAGGATGCTGCCAGTGCAGAGTGACAGTAAATTCGATGCTGTAAGAGAACCAGTGCACTTAAAGGAAAGGGTATATCTTTTTCTTGTTATATTCTTTATCACTACACCAACCAAGGTTTTTATATCAAACCAAAGGGAAATACACTGCTAGAATATGGACTGTTTAAGTCACTAAACTGTGATTATTGATTCTGTACATACCATTGTTATAAAAAAAAAAAGAACAGAGCTTTGTATATTTGAAATGTTATAAAACAATTGCACTCAGTGTAGTGTTGTAAAAGTTTGTCATTCTGTAGATTCTTACTGTGTTGTAGATATCCTAGGGCTCCTAGACAAATATTTATGTACAAACCCTTTATTTAACTTATTAACTGTAGAGGTTTCTGAAACCCTCAAGAGGCGATGGTACCGTACTTTTTTCCGTGTAATGTCGTTATTGTTAACACTTTTCCTGCTATCCGGTGGAGAAGTGCCACGTTCATTCAGAAAATAAACAAAATATATGTTTAACAAAAAGGAAAAAAAAAAAAAAAAAAGGAGC